GTGGTGGTGGTGGTGGTGGTGGTGGTTGGAGTCCTTGCGCTTCTCCTTGTTCTTATGTTTGCCTGACTTGGGAGCAGCAGCCGGCGCCTCGGTGTTCTCCTTGTTGCTGCCATTCTCCTGCACCTCCTCTGGGACCTCCTCATCCTCGGACACCACATCCAGGTTGTCAAAGATGCTGATGCGGTGGACACGGCCGTGCAGGTCCACTTCCACCATGCGCTGGGCCTGTGCATAGCTCATCACCTCACGGCCTGGCGACTGCGACACCTCCGAGGGGCTGGGCGACTGCTTGTTGGACGGGCGAGACTGCCGCCCCTTCTTCTTATGTTTCCGGAGTGGTGTCTGCTGCGGGGGTGGTGGGCTGTCGTGATCATAGTGGTGCAGGTGGTACTCAATGCCACTATAGCTCTTATAGACCTTGCGGCAGGTCTCCACGGGACATTCGTATGGTGGCTTAGTCGCCCGCAAGTTGTGGCAGAACGTCTTCACATCAAAGTCCACCCCCATGCTGTCACGACTTGAACACAGAGATCAATTAGTATAGGCCTGGGGAGGGGCTCCTGGTCACCCTAATCAGGGACCCCACTCATACACATATACACACACACACACACACACACACACACCTCCCCAAAGGTCACCAGCTCAGCTCCCGGCCAGCCCACTTTGATAGCATCCCCAAACACCATCTCTGACACCATCTCTACCATGTATCTAAATGCCTTTAGCCCAATGTTACAAAATGCAGTCCGTGCTTTTTCAAGTGCAACCACCATGCCAATCTCTTTGATTCAAAACCTCCAGATCTGCCCTACATCTATCAGCTCACATCTAACCCCTCTGATGACATTCAATGCCCGGCCTGGCCCTAAAGTCTCTCCAGAGACTTCAACAGGTAGGGTGCCCAGGCAACTGTTATAACCCCTTCATTCCCGCAAGATGACTTTTATCTGGAATGCCCGCTGTCCTTTCCGATTGGTGAACTCATGCGCATTCTGTAAAGCCTAGCTCAAATGCCACTTTTTTTTAATTTGACTTTTGATTCTCCTGTGGGAGCGGTTTCCATAGCACCTCATTCTCGCCTCCACCATGGTAGGTGGATTTGGGAGCCTCCTCCCAATAGACTAGGGGCTTATACAGTGCAGCAGAAACGGGTCTACCCACTTCGACAGCCTCAGTTCCTGGCACACGCTGAACACTCCATATTTAGGGCACTGGATGAGTAACCCATCAAGGGGATGGCAGAATGCAGGTGCCACCAGATTTGGAGCTGGGAGAGATGGGGTGCAGTCCAGTGTTCGCCTGTGGGAAGGCTTGATGGGAAGGCCCTGGTCTCTAGCAGAAATCACCGGGTTCTAGAAAGCATCAGTTCCTTTCTGAGGCCTTTAGCGGGGCTGCAGCGTTGGGGGAATCTACTGTGGAACCAAGAGAAAACTGAGGCTACTTAGTGGGGGGCATGAGTAGCGCATGTTCCTACTAAGTGCTAGATCCTAAGGGCTCAAACATGACAATCAGGCCTACGCAGCCCCTGGTCCTCAGGGCCCTGGCCCCCTTTCCTCCTCCCTGGCGTTCCTTGGTGAGTGGAGCCAGCAGATGGTACCAGGGCTCAGGAAGCCCAGCTTGGTCACACACTGCCCCAATTTCTCGGCCTAGTTGAGTTCAGTAATTTGGCTGGGGGCTTGGCACCATCCCAGGCAAAGCCACCCTGAGCTCCCAGACAAACAGAAGTTCTTTTGGCTTCTCTACTCAGCGGCTGAACACAAAGCAAGGGGGGCTGCTCACGACCCTCTGTCAACACCCCCTGCCTCCCACACTGAGTAAAGCTACACACTGAACAAGAGACACAAACAAGCTCTCCTCTTTCCATGTTTGGTCCCTGGTGAACGTTGAGGCTTTGCCACCCTGGTTCCCAACACGGCAGCGGCGGCATAAGAGAGGGAGATTACAACTCAAGCTGAAAACCCCTGGGGGAGGGCTGGGGCACGGCTGCTGCAGCTGCTCCGAGCTCAGAAGGCCGGAGGAAGTAGGGGGCGGAGGCCGCAGGGACCAGGCTGGGCCCCAGGGGTGCCTGCAGCCCTCTCTCCCGGATGCGGTGGTGTTTCCCCTCGGTCAGGGCTTAACAAGTTTAAACAGGGCTCCTCTCCTGCCATTGGCACCGCAGCGCCGAAGTACACAGCGTCGCCCCTGGGTGTCCGCTGGGAACGGGCGCGCCGAGTGCTCTCGGCTCCAGCAGCCCGGAGGGCAGCGGGTCGGTGCAGCCCGGGCGCGCTCCGCGAAAGGCGCTTCCCCCTTCCCCGGGGGCCGCTCCCGCCCAGGTCCCAGGCAGGCCCGCACTCACCGGCCACCTCGAGTCCGGGCTCATTGCCGAGGGCGCCCGCCGGGGCTCCGACCCCTCTTGGGGGAGGCCGGCGGGGAAAGAAGGACCTGGAAGCTGGATCCCCAACTCTGGGACCACAGAGCTCGCCACCCCGACTCCTCGGCTCCCCGCGCTCTGGCCGCAGCTCCCCGGGATTCCCGCGCTGACCCC